GCAGCCCCCATCTGGCCCGCTCTACGGGGGTGGGGACACGAGCGAGGTGCGAGGCATCGTCAGCTCCGTCGAGGTTGGCCCCTTCGACCTCGAGACCAGGCATCCTCCATCTGGCCCGCTCTTCGGGGATGGAGGCACGTGCGAGCTGCGTGGCATCTTCAGCTCCAGTGGAGTTGGCTCCGTCGGCTCCGATTACAGGCACCCTCCATCTGGCCCGCTCCTCGGGGATGGAGGCACGAGAGACATTGGAGTTGGCGTCATCTACTTCGGTGTCTTGCAACCCCCATCAGGCCCGCTCTACGGGGATGGGGACACGAGCGAGCTGCGTGGCATCGTCAGCTCCGATGGTGGCGTCCCAGTCTACTACGGGGGGTGGCGGCCTCCATCTGGCCCGCTCTTCGGGGATGGAGACACGAGCGAGCTGCGTGGCGTCAGCAGTTACACGGCCGGCTCGTGAGGTACGGAGCCCCCCCCGCCAGCCCGCGCTGTCTTCGGCCCAGACGAAGGCACCTCACCGTGCTGGTGCGTCTCTCTTCTTTGCGAATGTCACGGGATGGGGGCCCCGTATCCACAAGTTTGTGGTGGAGCATAAGAGTAAGTATGGCATGATGGCGTTTGTGGAGACTCACGTCACCGAGGCGAAGCTCATTCAGTATCGTGCCAGTCTGGATGTTGATGGTTGGAAGTTATCGGCTTGTGCTGCGGTGGGCACGGGTCGGTCTGCGGAGGGCACGAGTGGAGGTGAGTGGGTTCTGGCGCGGTCCCATCTTGCTACCACGTCCTTCGATCGGCAGAGGGCCCTGATGACCAAGGAGCGCCTGAAGGATCCCTGCCGAGGCTGGGTGCCAACTGTCTGGCATCTGCGTGCAGGCAACCTCATTGTGATTGCTGCCTACTTCTTGCCCAAGCACGGTTTCGGAGGCCTCAACCTTGATAGGTGGGCTTCTCTGCGAGCCTTTTTGGCATCAGTATCTGACCCGTGGATCATTGTTGCAGATTGGAACCTGACCCCGACGGCCCTGGAGCGCAACTCGTTCCTCAAGGATGTGGGAGGCACAATCGTTCTCCCAGATGTCCGTGTCACCTGTGACAAGGGTACGGGGTCGCTCATTGACTATGCGGTGGCGTCAGTGTCGGTGGCAGACTTAGTCTCGATCAAGGGCGTCCTCACCGTTCCTTGGAAGGTCCACTGTGGCCTCCATGTTGAGATACAGGGCACGTCGACGGCATGGTGGCACCGCGCTTTGGTCTTGCCGCGGCCGCTCCCTGCTGTGGATCGGCCACCGACGGCCCCTGACCCACAGAGCAAGACCTACCAGCGCAAGCAAGCAGCCCTTCAGAGGCGCAAGGAGGCCTTGCCCCCAGATCATCTAGATGCGTTTCACGAGCTCCATCAGCCCCCTGATCCTCAAGGTTTGACTGGCGATGTCTTTGAAGTCAGCCTGGATCGATGGAACTCTAACTCGCCCTCTGGAGCGGATGGAGACGGTTGTCCGAAGTACACCTTCACGGCGGAGATGCGCATGATTAGCGAGTCTCCTATCGTCTCGTGGGCCCTCGAGGGGAACGACCAGCTATCCCAAGACTATGGCAAGTGGGTCCACCAGGTTGAGCAGTCCCTCCTGGACCCGAGCCTCACGGCCCAGGAGCGTGCGCCTATCATTGGCAGAGCCCGAGGGTTTGCAGTCACTTGGAAGAAGTCGGTCTCGTCGCCTGGTCGAGGCCATTGGAAATATGACGGTGCTGAGCATTGGTCGGTTATGGACACACTCTGCAGGAGGACCTTGGCCATATTCCTCCATGACAAGGATGAGGAGCAGATGTGTAGCGCGTTGGCAAGTGCTGCTGGTCGAGTTCAGCATCTGCGACAGTACCATTTGGATCAGCGACCTGACTTACAAGACAGAGCCAAGACGGCTCTTGATCAGATTGTCTCCCTACATGAAGGGGTCCACAGTCTTACCAGCGACCAGATGGTTGAGGGATTGTGTCAGGTCGTGGTGGCAGTCGAGGCGGTTGCAGCTTGTGAGGTGGCGAGGGGCATCGGCAAGGCTCGCAAGGCCTACGCCGACTGGGTCCGTCGCATGTGGCGCACTTCCCCTGGCGCCCTCCACCGACACGTTCGTGACCCCGTCGCCCCTCGGCCTGAGGATGCCACGGTGGTGACCACTCCCAGTTCCTTTGCCGCCAATGCGGTGGCCGACCCCATCACGATCATGGCCAACAAGTCGACGAAGTGGGGCAAGATTTGGAGCGATGCAGTGGATACCCCAGCTAGTATCATTCATGCGCTGAGCGCAATACGACACAAAGCAGCTGAGGAGGACATCCCTCCGCTGCACTGCGAGCAGCTCCAGGCTGCTATCCGAGTCACGGGCAACAAGAAGGCTCGTGGAGTTGATGGGCTTGGTGCTGGCGGCCTGGGCCGCCTGCCGACCCAGGCCCTTGAGGAGCTCAGGGACCTTTTCCAGCGATGTGAGGCAGCCCAGGCATGGCCGTCGCAGTTGGCGGCCACTCTTTCTGCCCTTGCCCCGAAGCCGTCGGGAGAGGGAGACCGCGTGTTGGGCATGGTGCCGTTGCCTGTCAAGCTGTGGTCGCGTGCTCGCCAGACCTTCACATCGCAATGGTGCCCTGCGCGTGCTGCGTTCTGGGACACAGCAGTGCGTTGCTCTTCATCCTTGCGCGCTGCCCTCTTGAGGGCGACGCTCGACGAGGCGGCCCAGGAGCAGCAGGTCAGCTGGCTGGCCCTCCTCCTGGACATCGAGAAGTTCTACGACAGCGTCTCGCTGGTGGGCCTCCTCCAGATCGGCCTGGACTTCGGCTTCAGTCCGACGGTCATGGGCCTCGAGGTGCAGGTCTACCTCCACCCGCGCTACCTGCGCGAGCGCGGCTGGCTCAGCGAGGCGATCTTCCCTACCCGCAGCATTGTGGCTGGATCGTCCCATGGGGCCCCCTTCTCCAAGCTGGCTCTCTACCCCATTCTGGAGAGGGTGCATCAGGAGGCCCCGTCGGCGTCACTGTGGACGTTCATTGACGATACGGTGGGACGGTGCGAAGGCCCTGCGGAAGCTGTATTACCTGCTATGGATGTTGTGGGCACGTCCTTGGCTCGAGGGTTGAAGCAGCATCGTTTGGTTGTCTCCTCCAAGTCTGTGATTCTTGGCTCGTCGGCCTCCCTGACCAAGAAGTCGGCACAGAGGTTGCGTGCGGGAGGAGTTCCAGTGAGGCCAGTATTGCAGGGCGTCGACCTCGGCGTCGACGTTGCGGCCGCCAGGCGCAGAGTTTGTGCCAGGGCCATCTCGAGGCGAGTCAAGGCGCAGCGACGAGCTGGGCGCATCAAGAGGCTCAGACGTATGGCTGCACTTGGCCGAGAGGCCCGCTGCTTGTGGGCGACTGGTGCGTGCCCGCAGTCTACCTACGGGCACCAAGTTCATGGCACCTCCCCGTCGGCCTTGCTGGCACTGCGGCGCCAGGCTGCTGCTGCCGTCACTGGTGGCCAAGGTGGTCGCTGCTTGACCAGCACACTGGCGGCTTCTTTCGGTTTGAAGGACCCTGCGGTGGAGATACGACGACAGTTGGTTCTGGAATGGCTCAGCTTCTGGCAGGCTCAGCCTCAGCTACATCGGCGACTCAGGCTTGTGTGGCCGTCGATTCGGGGCCGCCTTGCGAAGGCGGAGAGGCGGCGCTGGAGCATTGTCAGAGGCCCGATTTCAGCAGTTATTGCTACATTGATGGATGTGGGGTGGGATCCTAAGACTGCGACGGTCTGGACCCGCCCGACTAGTGCTGGAGTTGATGAGTGGCACATCCCGTCGAGCGGCGACGAGGCGTTCGAGAACTTCGGCTCCACGACGGAGCTGATCGACGACCTCATCGGTGACATCCGCTCGGCGCTGTGGTTAGAGGCAAGTAAGCATGACAATGGCGAGGGCCTGGCGGGTGGCGGTGACTTCTTCCATATCATGAGGGAGCTCAAGCGTCACCAGGCCCGTGGCCAGCATGATGAACATGGATTGAATGTGACGGTCGTGGCTGGAGGGCAGTGGACCCGCACTCGGAGGCATCTCTGCGGGCACAAGCTGGAGTCGACCACATGCCCACGGTGCGAGAAGCATCCAGAGACGCTGTTCCACAGGATTTGGTCCTGCGAGTGCAACGGCAACCACGACGACTATGACAAGACCGCCTCGCTGCTGCCTGCGGCGACAGCGCAGTATGAGAGCCAGCCCACTTTTTGGCTCCGTGGTGTGCCCACTGTCTGCATGACCACGCCTCGCTTCGACGAGGCGCTGCTGGCCGAGCTCGAGCTCAGGCTGCCAGGCGCTTTTCATGAATGTGAGGATGGGGGGTGGGCGGTGGTGTACGGGGACGGGTCGGGTGGGAAGCACTCAGACGATCCTCGTCGTCGCCGCTGTGAAGCTGCTATCGTGGCCCTGGCGCCCGATGAGCAGGGTCAGTTTCAGGAGCGTGCTGGCATTGCGGTCCCTCTCCTCGGGCTGAAACGGTCTGTCCCGAGGGCCGAGCTGCTCGCGTTTTGTCTCATGCTCGAGAATGTTCCAGGTAATGTTGAATTCGTCACCGACCATAATAATATAGCCAGGTCTTGGGAGTTTATCCTTGAGAATCCCAGGGCCCCGCGTCTCCAGGAGGACCTCTGGGAGCGTGCTAGGAAGTCTTGGAGATCCAGGCCTGGCCAGCTAATGGTTCGGTGGACCCCACCCCACACGGATGAGAGAGCGAGTTTTAACTGTGAGCAAGAGATGCTCACCGCCATGGGTAACATGGCTGCGGATATCTGGGCGGGGAGGGCGGCGGAGTTGGCGTGGGAGAGGGGGCTGGTGGGGGACCTTCCTCGGACCGATGCGGTCGACTCTGCTGCTGCTATGATCAGGAGGCGTGCCCGTCGTGCGCTCCAGGATGCTGCTGCCGCCGACAAATCGTCGAAGGCAGAGAGAGAAGCGGTGCCCATCAAAGTGGTACCGAAGTCTAGAGTTGCTCGAGCTCTCGCTGCCTCCGCCCACCGCCTCCACCTGAGGGGCTCTGTGTGGGTTTGCGAGGCGTGTCTCCAGGCAGTGCCCCAGTCGAGGTTCCTGGAATTGAGCTCGAGCCCCTGTTTGCCTCCCCCTCCTCCTCCTCCTGAGGCTCCTCCCCCTCCCAGGGCTCAGAGGATCACCCAGGGTATCGGTTTGAATTTGCAGGGAGTTGAAGTCCATCCGTCGCACTCGCTCGGCCGAGCGGACCAATTCTTCCTGACCTTTTGTCACACCTGTGGGGCCTACGCTACTGTGGACCCCCGTCATCTCATCTCTGAATGCCGCCCGAGTCGGAAAGGCTTGGAAAACTTGGCCCGTCTGGGGAAGGGACTCTACCCTCGTCGTGACGGCCCCCCTAAGGCTGTAAAGATGGCGATGCAGGCTCGTGATGAGTTCGACGCCCGACAGGGGCGTCCGAGTGTGAGCGGAGCTGGATCGTCTAGCGATCCTGGCCCTGCTCTCACTCTCCCTCAGGATGCGCCCGCGGGTCAAACCCACTAAACCCCGAAGGCGCCGTCCTCCTTTGAAGCCACTGCCCCAATTGTCTCACTGTGGGCTGGGGCGTTGTGGCCCGCAACGCTGTTGCTCCGATTGAATCCAGCTTGAATCCTCCTCCTCCTCCTCCTCCTCCTCCTCCTCCTCCTCCTCCTCCTCCTCCTCCTCCTTCCTCCTCCTCCTCCTCCTCCTCCTCCTCCTCCTCCTCTCCCCTCCTCCTCCTCCTCCTCCTCCTCCCTCCTCCTCCTCCTCCTCCCCCCTCCCCTCCCCTCCCCTCCCCCACCCCTACCCCTCCCCCTCCCCCTCCTCCTCCTCCTCTTCCTCCTCCTCTTCTTATTCTTCTTCTTCTTATTAGTATTCTTAGTCTTATTCTTCGTATTCGTATTCTTCTTATGATTCTTATTATTATTCTTATTCGTCTTCTTCTTCTTCTTATGATTATTATTCTTCTTCTTCGTCTTCTTATTATTATTCTTCTTATTCGTCTTCTTCTTCTTCTTATTATTATTATTCTTCTTCTTCGTCTTCTTCGTCTTCTGCTTATTCTTCTTCGTCTTCTAATTATTCTTATTATTCGTCTTATTATTATTCTTCTTATTATTCTTATTCGTCTTCTTCTTCTTCCTCCTCCTCCTCCTCCTCCTCCTCCTCCTCCTCCTCCTCCTCCTCCTCCTCCTCCTCCTCCTCCTCCTCCTCCTCCTCCTCCTCCTCCTCCTCCTCCTCTCCCCCTCCCCCTCCTCATCCCCTCCTCCTCCTCCCCTCCCTCCTCCTCCTCCTCCTCATCATCATCATCATCATCATCATCATCATCATCATATCATCATTCATCAGCATCATCATCATCATCATCATCATCACCATCATCATCACCATCATCATCATCATCATCATCATCATCATCATCATCATCATCATCATCATCAGCATCAGCATCATTATCATCATCATCATCATCCCTTCACCACCACCACACCACCACACCACCACACACCATCTCATCATCATCATCATCATCATCAGCATCATCATCACATCAGCATCAGCATCATCATCCTCATCATCATCATCATCATCATCATCATCATCATCATCATCATCATCATTATCATCATCCCCCTCCCCCTCCTCTTCCTCCTCCTCCTCCTCCTCCTCCTCCTCCTCCTCCTTGCCTCCTCCCCCGCTGCTCCTCGGCCTTTTGGCGCCCCTTCCCAGAGGAGCCCAAAACGCAGCCGCTGTAGGCACACAAATCTTGCCCGCAGGCGAGCCCGCGCGCCCTTGGCACCGAGCGCCTCGGCGGAGCCGATAGGCGCGCCACGGGAGCGGCCGCTGGACCGCTGGGCGCTCACAGGGACCCTCCAACCCCATTCGTAGAGGAACCCAAGAAATTGCATTAACACACGGTGGGGGCATGGGATAAGGAAAGCTTCAAGAAGGAATCCAGGGTCTCGAAGCCAGAGGAACTCCAATCGTGGATCGGCCATGGATGTCACCGCTGCCCTCGTTGGATGCGGAATCCTCCAGGGTCTGGCGACTCCTGGGACTATTCTTTAACAAACGCGTCCACCATAATCCCATTGAGATCCACGCAGACTCGTTGATCGGCGCTGGACCTCCTCCCTGGCGCGCGGAGCGCGCCACGGGCGGCGCCAGGGGCGCCGCCAGGGAGGCCCAGCGCAGATCCGAGAAATCCGCGCGGACCTCCGACAAAAGCTTACGTTTGTGCAGCGTCTTGCTCTTTGAAGCTGCCCCCCAGAACCACTCCATTTCCAACCCAGCCGAAGAGTGCAGAGCCTGATAACATGGCTCATAAAGGTCCCCTGGAGTTGAAGTTGGGCTGGCAGCCCCAGTCCGCAGCGAGGTTGCACAGCTACAGGCCTGAGCTGTCTCCAGGAAGAGGCGTCGAGAACGATCGGACAGCGGCCACCGGACCGCTGGCGGGTGGCTGGC